ACCAGCGACACCATTCTAGGGCATATATCCAAAGGATGCTCAATCATAACAGAAGGACATTTGCTCAACTATATTCATAGCAGCTTTATTTATAATAGCCAGAACCTGGAAACCACCTAGATGCCCCTCAGCTGAAGAATAAAGAAAATGTGATTTACACAATGGAGTATTACTCAGCCATTAAAAACAATGAGAGGAAATTTGAAAGCAAGTGGGTGGAACTAGAAAAAAAATCATCCTGAGTGAGGTAACCCAGACCCAGAAAGACAAACATGGTATATACTCACTCATATATGGATATTAACTACAATGTAAAAGATAACAATACTACAAAAGCTACAGCCCCAGATACCCTAGATAACAAGGAGGGCCGAAGAAAGACAATTGGATCTCCCTGGGAGGTGGAAAGAGAGATCTCCTGGATGGTGATCTGGATGGTGACTACCCCCCATTGTCATTGGAGAGCTTTCATCCAGAAGATTCAGAGACCCACAGCCAAACACTGGACCAACCTTGGGAAGTACTGTTGAGGAGAGGAAGGAACTCCTCACAATGGTAGCAGGGGCTGATCCTGGTGCATTGGCTTGTTCTTGGGAAGCTATTCCTCATGCTAGATTGCCTTGCCTATCCTGAGGGAGAAGGTGCTTGATCTTATGGCAACTTTATATGCCATGCTTTGCCCATGGGAGGCTTGCCCCTCTCTGAACAGAAACAGAGAAGGAGTGGACGTGGGGGTGAAAGGAAGCAGGTGGGAGAGGATGGACAGGAGGCTGCAGTCAGGATGTAAAATAAACACACTAAATTCAAAAACAAGAGGAGGAAAAGAAAAGACTTTCTGAAAATGACTCTAATGACTCAGAAAATAATCCCTAGAATTGACAAGTGGAATTATATGACATTTAAAAGATCCTGCACAGCAAATTAAATGAACACATAGTGAAAAGACAGTCTATAGAATGGGAGAAAACACTTTGCCAACTACTTATCACATGAGAGATTAGTAAGTAGGATATATTAATTAGAACTACAACAGTTAAAAAAAGACTCATGCCCCACTCCCCACAAAAAAGCACCCCATCAGCAAACAGGCTAACGAACAGTTCTCAAAAGAAGAAATATAAATGGTAAATACTTGAAAAATATTCACCCTTGTTAGTCATCGAGAAAACACAATGAAAACTGCTTTGAAAGACCATTTCACTCTGTCAGAATGGCTCTCACCAATAAAACGATTAACAACAAAACACTGGTGTGGATATGGGAAATGCTTATTGCTGATGGGAATGTAAACTGGTTCTGCCACTACGGAAGACAGTGTGGAAGTTCCTCAAAAGCACTAAAAGTAAGGGGCTGAAGAGATAGCCCAGTGGTTAAGAGCACTGGCTACTCTTCCAAAGGTCCTGAGTTCAGATCCCAGTAACCACATGGTAGAACAGAGAAGACAAAAGAGACAGAGAAAGAAGAGAGAGACTATCCTAATGAAACTCATCACTTTATATGCTAATTTAAAAACTTTAAAAAATTGTAAATGAAGGTCCTCAGTTCTAACTTTGGTGAGTGATTATAAGGTTTAGGCCTAAGCAAAAAAGATCCTAGACAACTAAAATCTAAAATGAAGAAGAATCACTGCCATTCTCCTATGCTAAGCTCAGGTAAACATGCTTGTGAGTTCTTTTTGCCAATATTTTTATACAGTCCAAGAATCAACAAACCAGTCAAATCCACTTGACTGTTGATTGTTAAAAATAAGATTTTAAATAGACTCTCATTTATTTATTGCCGTCTATGGCTGTTTTCACCATCAATGGCAGAGTTAAGTAGTTTCAACAGAAACTACATGGCCAAAAAATGCATATATGGCCAAAAAAATCCAAAAAGTATTTACTCTTAGCCTTTACAGAAAAAGTTCGCTAAACTGGGCAGGATGGAGTACACCTACTACTTCTCAAAGTCAGGAGGTAAAGGCAAGAGAATCAAGAGATCTAGATTAGTCTGAGTTATATGCAAGACCCTATGTAAAAAACAAAACAGAAAAGAAAATGAAGAAAAAAATTGCTGAACACTCACTTAGATGAAAAGAAAATCTTGCAACTATTCTTATAGTTATATAGTAATAGTTTAGTTTTAAAAAAGAAGCTCACCTCTATTTTTCCTCTTACTTATAAAATATAGATTGTATTTGCCCTTTGTGTAAAAGTCACTTGAGAGTATCTCTGCATTAGTAGCGTAGTAATAACTTTTCATCCCTCTTTAATAAGTTGCTCAGATTTACTGTGAGTAAAAAGTAATAGTAACAGTAATAGCAATCACCACCATACAATACTAACAGTTCTGCTTCTGTGCTTGCTTATACAGTAAACAGCACAGGTTAAACAATTACATGCACTTTCATCTGCCAGAATCTTAAAGGGTGATAAATGAGAATCTCTCTGGATCAGACAAAGTATTCTGAATACAATTGTACCCAACATACATACATGCCAAACGTGGTACTGGTTTCTCACAATGGCTAATGAAGATCAGATATAAGATAGTTTTACATGAAGTATTACCTAACTAGATTATTCATTAAGAAAAACCAGTGTTAATGAACATGGAGAAACATATCCAAAGATGTCATTTAAAAAAAAATAGAATGTTGTGCAGGTGAAATGATCTGGTCAGATGAGACAAGACCTTAATGGAGTTACATTGACACTGACATTGGATACAGTTAATTTGAACATTGAAAGAATATTCAATGAAATTAAACCTTTAACCTCAATTTCTCCATCAATGAAAAGTTCCTTTCTCAAACAACTAGAGGGAACAAAAGGTAATCAAGCCATAAAGAAACGGAGTCTGGGAGCTAAGCTTTCTAAATGTTTCCATGTCAAAGAAGAGAGACTAAAAATCACTAAAAACACCACAAAAAAATGGGGAGAATATTAACTTTCTACTCATTTAGCACGTCCTAAGAGTTGGGTACTAAACAAACCAAACCAAAAACATATTCCTCATGAAACGTACATTCAACTGATGATAGAGTCATAAACTCAGTGTCTAAGTTTGTTCCAAGACTGCCTTAAAGATGCCAAAATCAACAGATGCTACAGTCGCTCATATAAAATGGAACAAGATATGCATGTAATTGACATACATGCTCTTACTTTAAATCACATAAAGATTGGTTATAATAACTCATACAATGTAAATACTCGTAACAGTTTCCGCCATGAATATTTGCAACCCTGTGGAAACACAGGGTCAACTATTCTTGGTATAGTGCTAAGTGCTAAGAAGAAACCTAACCTGAGAAAATAAGGAGTGCTAAATGGTGGTGGCCAGGCAAGTGTGGAGAAGATGGTATCTGAGTGCATCTGCTCCACCACGCTTTACAGGATGCCAGATGGATTGGAATAAATACAGACCAAGAAACGAAATTGTTTACACTTCAGGATTATCCATGTGGATCATGAGCCTGAAGTAGAGGTGATGCCACATTAATATACAGAGATAATAACTCCTTTTCTATGAGAGCAAAGTTGAAGAAAGGAGCGAACATTTTCTAATTACATGAAAGCATACCTTCAAGAAAACCCATCTTTGAAATGCTGTTCCCAAAATAACAAAGACATAAAAAAGATAAAAACCCAGAAGAATAAAAAAATAGGAAAAACAGACATGCACATAAAAGAAGATAAAGTGAAAGCAAACACTGAAAGGGTTTCCATAACATGAGATCTTAAGAGGAAAGGAAGACTATCTTAAGTAAGGACATAATACAGTACAAGAAAGAAAAAAGTACAATATGGCAGTACTAATGAGCTTCGCAAGCTAGATAAAAGGGGGGTGGAAATCTGCATGAAAAATACAGCCTACTGAAGAAAGAAAAGAAACCTTTTACTAAAGGAGTTTTAAAAGCAGGTCACTGACATAGTCAAGGCCACAGAAGACAGCAAGAGTCCTTCAGGGCTAGAGGCTCACTCATCTGATGTTCAATCACCATAGGGACAGAAGTAGAAAAGAAACTAGATCATCTACCAGAAGCTGACTTCAAAGAAAAAGGTAAATTTAAACTGAATGAAGCCTGAGCATTTACACTTAGAATCACCAACAGCCAAGCCAAAGAAAAAAGAAGACTGAAATAAATACAGATTTGTTTGAATGCTTACAGAAAGCAGTAGAAGAAGAAATTAAGGACTCAGTCAACTTATTTTCTTAGTCAGACATAAACTTCAAAACACAGATTTTTAAAAAAAGCTGAGAGTAAGTAGCAACTAAGTTCTAACCAATGAGGCAGGAAATTATATTCCTCCTGGGGACCACAAAACATGATTTTGCACAACTTCAAAATATTCACTAGATAAAAAAACCACCTAACAGGAATTATTGTCACTCAGAAAACCAAGATTACCCTAAACATTCCTTTTGTCTATAAATGTCAGCTTCTCTCTTCAAATGTCCAATATAAAAGTAATGTGACAGAAATGCTATTTTAAGACCAGGGAGAACATTAATCTTCTGTGTTCTTGCAACATTCTGCTACTTTCAGAAAGAAAGATAAAATGTTTCAAAGTCCCTCATAAATTGAAATTTGTAAAACCAAGTTCAAATGAACTATATATCACAAGGTTTCAAGAGTTCTCCAAATATTTATTTAAGTTTTCTTGTTTATTTTCTACCCTATATGAAAATGTCTGAGAAATAGTTAAAATTAACAGACAGAGGTGTTACAAAAGAACTTGGGAACTAATATACATAGAGGTATATGACAAAAACATTTTTCATAAAGATCACGATAAATTTAATAAATACCAATAAAATACTAAAAATAAAAGTTATACATATTCCAGGTTTGGGGATTCTTTTGTTTCTTGAGAAAAGATCTCCTGTTGTCTGGGTTTGCCTCAAACTCACTATATAGCTGAGGCTGATTCATTTTATTTTTATGGATACTTTTCATTAAAAATAAAGCATATCTTAATAATACATAGTATATAGTTACATGTATGGCTTACCTATTAAAGATTTGATATTTTCTAAAATTAAATCACTAGTAATATTTCCAGATAAATCTTGCCCCAATTCAGCAATCAGTTTGGCATAACCTTCATTCTCTTCTCTTAATAAATTGAATTTTTGCTGCTTATAACTGAAAACAGAAATATCATCAAAAAGATAAAATTAATTTCAATTATCAAGTTTGCACAATGATATCACTGGATATCACTAACTTAAAACAATCATGAGAATGTGCTGTCACAGCTTAACTTTTTGTATTTTTCAACACTAAAGCAATATTAGTTAATAAGGGAACATATCAATATACCAATATTTCCACCACTAATTATGAATATGCTCTAAATATACACATGGCTGTTAAATATTTAATGCTAATAACAAAAAGTATGGGTCTGGAGAAGTAGCTCAGCCATTTAAAAGCACTTGCTGCTCTTTCAGAGGACTCGAGTTCAGTTCTCAGCACCTAAAACAGGCAGCTCACAACTTCCAGCTCCAGGGGGATTTCCACTACCTCTGGTCTCTGAGAGCACCTGAGCATACGCATATGCACAAGCAAGCACATGCGCACACACACACACGGGATCCAACACACAGTCATACATTCAGGAAAAACACCAATTAACTTAAAATAAATATCATTAAAAAAGAATTTAATGTTATCTAAGACTCAAATATGGACAAAGTTAACACAGGAATAGCTCACTGAAAACTCCATAATTTAAGTGCTTTAGAAGGAAAAAAATACTAACCACAAACAAAAAATAATAGCTTCGAAGGGCCTTAAGAAACTGCTACTATTCAAAATGAGAAATAAACTGTCAGCTACTTGATGTGTAACATAAGCCAAATATACTTACAAGAGTTTTGTCTTGATTTTAACTGACTTTTGATTGAACTGCTGTGACTGTTTGATGAGCCCTAATGATTCCAAAGTTTCTGGATCCAAACGTTCCTTCAGAACTGTGTCTGAAACTAAATACTGTATTAAAAATATTAAAGACCATTTATTCTTTAGCATTCCAACTATGTACCCACAATCTTAAATAAAATAAACTCTTTCCAATGTAAAAATACAAAATCACATTATCTCTTTATAAAGCCTAGAATTTCAATTCAACAAAATAACTCTCCAAATACAGAAATATAAAATATATAGCTCTTTCAGAAATTACTTTAAGAGTATATGTTTGCTATACACAGCCTATGGAGTAAGAACTACAGATTAAATTTTCATTACATTGAGCCTATCGTAACTCAATTTTCACCTAATATAGTATACTTCAGCATTGTATATATTCTACACCAAGCCAAACTATAATAAAACAAAGACAAGAACATTCTTTATACGACCCAGTAATGGTATTTTTCCTTGGTTCTAATTTTATGAACATGAAGTAGCTCACCAGACAATTATGAATTCTATTTGGGGAGGGTGTTGTTGTTGTTGTTATCTGTTTAAAGACAGTGTCTTATGTATCCCAGACTGTCTTTGAACTCACTATATGTAGCTGAGGATGATCTTGAACTTCTGTTCCTCCTGCCTCCATCTCCTAAGTGCTGAGATTACAAGCATGTGTCACCATGCCCAGTTTATAAGATACTAGGAATAGAACCAAGGGTTTCATGCATGTTAGGCAAGCACTCTATACACTAAGCCACATCCACAGCCTAACTTGCATTTATTTAATTACTTCCATCTTTTTGTCCCTGTCTGAGTTTTTAAAAACTTAGTTTAAGAACTACTTGCTTACCTTTTTCTATATTAGAAACTCACTAGGTCAGAAATATCACTGAGGGTTTTTATATATACAGATTTAGTAATTTAGAAATATGATTATTCCACAAATATTACATACCTACTTCCACAAAACATCCATTTCAAGATCTAAATCGCACCTTATAATGAGGTCAACTGAATGTCAATATCTTCCTCCATTTAACATCACTAACAATATTATATTTATTCAATGTAAAATTTAGGAGAAAATGTATTTAAAAACTTACCAAACATGCTAATACCAATTGTGTAAAATAGTCTCTCTTGCTTTTTTCTTCTAAACAATTTGTCTCAATATCTATAATGACAGAAGAAAAGAGATACAAGTTTCATTTTTCCATACTCTCTACTACTAAAAGACTCATCTTCTTTAAAAGTTATTTTAAAAATGCCTCTTTCTGGTCCAGGCATGGTGGTACACACCTGTAATTTCAGCACCCAGAACCAGAACCATGGGGAGCACAAGTTCAAGGCCAGCCTGGCCTACACTGTGAGCTCCAGGAATCCCAGGTTATACAAAAATAATAAGCAGGCAGAAAACCCTGACTGCTCTTTGGACTGGAGAGGGAGGGGGAAAGGAGTGGGGGGAGGGGGAGAAGGGTGGGAGGAGGGGGCGTAGGGGGGGAGGAGGGGGAGGGAAATGGGAGGCTGGGAGGAGGTGGAAACTTGTTTTTTTTTCTCCATTTCTCAATAAAAAAAAGTAAAAAAAAATAAGTTGTCTTAAAAATAAATGTAATTAATTAAAAATAAAATACCTCTTTCTAAATCTGGAAAATTATAAATTGCAGTAATATGTCTTTCATACATATACAAACACTCTCTTAATATTAATGAATGGCCCTGTCACCTATAACATATATCCATAAAATAGCAAATTTGTATCATAGGAACACTGAAAACAAAATTTCAGAAATAAAAATACTCTAAAAAAGGAAAAAAGATTAACAAAGTTTAAATGACCACTTGTCAGAGGTGCTACAACAGAGACTCATTTCTTAATGGCCAAGTAGAACTGGGTAACAACAAAAAAATATCTTCTAATTTAGCTGGGTTTGGTGGTACACAACAGTGATCTCGGCCTTCAGAAGGCTGAAGCAGAAGGATCGTGAGTTCAAGACCAGCTTGAACTAAATAGTAAGATGTGTTATAACAACAGACAAAAAAAAAAGAAAAGAAAGAAAGAAAGAAAGAAAAAAGAAAAAAAGGGAAAGGCAAGGCAAGGCCTATGTTGTTGTTGTTTGATTGGTTTGGTCCCAAGCCCCTTTTTGATTGAGTATTTTTGCAGTATACATACTGATTAACATTGGTGTGTACGGAGGCCAGAGAATGGTGTCAGGTCTCTTCCTCAATTGCTCTACATTTTATTGAGACAGGGTTCTCACTGAATCCAGAGTTTGTCAACTTGGCTAATCTAACTAGCCAGCTTGCCCAAGAGATCCCCTGTCTCAGCCTCCCATGAACTGAGATTACATGTAAGCCACCATACTAACCACTTCCCCTGTTTTAAAGAAAGACTTAACTAACACCTGCCTCTATTTCTATAAGCTGGGAATAGAGGCATGTACCACTATACCTGGCCTTACTCTGCTTTTTTGTGGGTACTGGGGATCCTCATGCTTGTAAGCAAGTGCTTTATCCACTAAGTCATCTTCTCAGTATTGGTTTGGGGTTTTGTTTTCCTTTTTACGAAAAGGTCTCATTATGTAGCACAGACTTGCCTTCAATGTGCTATGAACTTAAGGTTAACTTTCAAGTCTCAGCAAAATTCTCTTTTCACAGTTTCCCCAGTGCTAGGACAAAAATATTTCCTAACCTTAAAAGTCCATAACCAATAAAGTTGAAAAGTCTAATGTCAAGTCTATGGAAAGTCAGTATTAAAAAAGGAATATTGAAAATCCTATTTGGAACAATTCTAGCCACTAAATAAAAATGCAATTCTCCCTATGAAACACTTAAAAATATGTCCTTCAGTTTTAGTAAATTGTTCAGAAAATTCAAGTTTAGATCTGAGGAGTGGAAGAAATAAAACAATTAATACAAAATGTCAATCATCAAAAATTTAAAATAGGACTAGCAGGATTACACAAAGGCTGGCTTCAGAACTGTTGCTTAAACTCATTAAATTATTTTAACTTTCTGAGACAGGTACTCTTGTAGATGAGGTTGACCCCAAACTCACTAGATGACCTTAAATTTCTGATTCTCTTGTTTCTGCCGCCCAAGTGCTTAGAATTACACGCAAACATTTTCAGAGTCAACTGGCAATTTAGAAAGTACAATAAAGGGTATCAGCCTTAGTGAAATTACTATTAGCCTGTAAGTGGGTCTTCCAAAATAACAGACACATTATCAGAGTTTTGCTTCAGTTTGTTTTCTACTGTCAACACCAAGAATTAAGAGATTTATCATCAAATACAACACTCATCATCATTTTCCTGGCCTTTCACTCTTCCTTCCATTAAAGCTGTATATATTATTACAATCTGTCTGAATTCATTACAAGTTCAAGGCCAGCCTGGTCTACAAGAACTGGTTATAGAACAGGCTCCAAAAAGCCAAGGAGAAACCCTGTCTCAAAAAAAAACCCACCATTCAAATAAACTCATTTATCATAACCTTACTCCTGTATCCTAAATTAGCACTTGGTAAATTCTTTTTAATTTCCATATAATTTTCTTAAAAGCCCTCTACATCCTCCAACTCCTGCCTTCTGTATCACCAACCAACTGGCCAACCTCCAAGGTCTCATCAGTGTATCTGTTACTTCAGAGTCAGCCTCTCAAGTTACTACAGCTCTCAGGCTCCCTCACCCTCATGTGATCAGTCTTTTTAAAAGTTCTCTTAACCTGGAAAGTATAGGAATATTTTGTCTTATTACACTTCACACATTAAGAAGATAACACAATTTTGATGGGATCTTGATGGGGATTGCATTGAATCTATAAATTGCCTTTGGTAGAATTGCCATTTTTACTATGTTGATCCTCCCAATCCAAGAGCAAGAGAGGTCCATCCATTTTTTGGTATCCTCTTCAATTTCTTTCTTCAATGCCTTAAAGTTCTTGTCAAATAGATCTTTCACTTCCTTGGTTAGATTTACCCCAAGATATTTTATGCTGTTTGTGGCTATCGTGAATGGTGAAGCTTCTCTGATTTCCCTCTCTGCTTCCCTATCCTTTGTGTATAAGAGGGCAACTGATTTTTTGGAGTTGATCTTGTTTCCTGCCACATTACTAAAGCTGTTTATCAGCTGTACAAGTTCTTTGGTGGAGTTTTGGGGGTCGCTTATGTACACTATCATATCATCTGCAAATAACGAAAGTTTAACTTCTTCCTTTCCAATTCGAATCCCCTTGATCCCATTATGTTGTCTTATTGCTATTGCTAGAACTTCAAGCACTATATTGAAGAGGTATGGTGAGAGCCTTGCCATGTTCCTGAGTTAAGCGGGATGGCTTTGAGTTTCTCTCCGTTTAATTTGATGTTACTGACGAATATCTTGCATATCATCATAGAATCTTCATCTGGTGATGGATAGAGATAGAGACAGAGATCCACACAGGAGCACTGGACTGAGCTCCCAAGGTCCCAATGAGGAGCAGAAGGAGGGAGAACATGAGCAAAGAAGTCGGGACCACAAGGGGTGCACTCACCCACTGAGACAGTAGAGCTGATCTATTGGGAGCTCACCAAGGCCAGCTGGACTGTGACTGAAAAAGCATGGGATAAAACCGGACTCTCTGAACATGGCGAACAACGAGGGCTGATGAGACACCAAGGACAATGGCAGGGGGTTTTGATCCTACTTAATGTGCTGGCTTTGTGGGAGCCTAGCCAGTTTGGATGTTCACCTTCCTAGATATGGACGGAGAGGACCTAGGACTTAACACAGGGCAGGGAACCCGGACTGCTCTGTGGACTGGAGAGGGAGGGGGAGAGGAGTGGGGGGAGGGGGAGAAGGGTGGGAGGAGGGGGAGAAGGGAGGGAGGAGGGGGAGAAGGGTGGGAGGAGGGGAAGGGAAATGGGAGGCTGGGAGGAGGTGGAAACTTGTTTTTTGTTTATGTTTTTTTTTCTTCTTTTCGCAATAAAAAAAAAAGAAAAAAAGAAAAAAAAAGAAGATAACACAATATAGTAAAAAGATCATGGACTCTGGATCCAAAGGGACCCAGGCTTAAATGCAGCTTTACTAGCTGCATTCCCTTAAAAAAATGACCACTCTGCTAAACCTCATCTTCCCAATCTGCATACCTTCCATACAGAAATTGTTATAAAGACTAAGATTAAAATGAAAAGTTTTAACATGATGCCTAAAACATGAAAGGTGTTTCAAAACTAGCACCTATATCATAATGAATATTATTAGTATCATTTGGCACAACCTTCATTAAGATTAGTTTAATTATATGAGTTTTATCTGTGTGTTATGTGTATGTACCACATCTGAGTTTGGTACCTATAGAGTTAAAAGTAAGATCCTCTACAAATGAAGGTAAGAATGGTGAGCTGCCATATTGATGCTAGAAACTGAATTTGTGTTCTCTGCAATAGCAACAAGTGCTCTCCATTGAGCCATCTTTCCAGCTTGCTAGGTCACATTCTTAAAATCCCAACTCCCCTTCTTGTTCTGGAGTCACCCTTGCATCACTTTTATCCTGCCAAGATTAAGCACGTGTAAGGGAACAGAAGAAGGATAGTTTCCTCTAAATTTGTCTGTAAAAATGAGTTGGATAGTATGAAAGAAATTTCCTCCGAAGTAACCAAATATCACTTTCATGAATCCATGTTAACAGCTAACAGGCAATAATAACCTGTGGAAATAATTCTTATGTCTTAATAACTATGAAGGAAAGCTATGTTTTAACAAAATAAGTCAATTTAAGAAAAACTATTAGAATGAAAAAGCTAATAACATTACTGAAGACAAAATATATTCCCAACACTATTGAGGAACATCTTTCACAAAATGTCTCCTATAGATTAGTTTCCTGTGTATAAAATTTATGGGTAAAAGCAACTCTTTTTACATTGGAACTTGTTCAATGCTAAATTTATTTGTTCGTATCGATTTCAAATATTAAGTTCCTTTTTTCATTTTGTATAAATAAATCAAATATATACCATGAAGATGTACTTTATCATTAAAACCAGGAGAGTTCAGAATGAGAAACAACATTATTAAGCATAATTATGCCAGAAGTGGAAAATCTAGGAAACATGGTCAACTCATTGGTGGTCTGTTTTTCCCATTTATCACTCTCACATATTCTGAAACTGTTCCCAACATTGCCACTGTTCTGAAATCTGAAAGATTCTCTAAACTCTTACACAGGCATTCATATTAGCTAAGACCAAACTCTAGACAAATCAGTAAGCCATATAAGTAACTCACCTAATCCTAAGAATAAAGAATAATGAGCTAGCTAGGTGGTGGTGATGCACACACACCTTTAATCCCAGTACTTGGGAGGCAAAGGCAGATGGATCTCTATGAGTTAGAGGTAGCCTAGTCTACAGAGTGAGTTCCAGGACAGCCAGAGCTGCACAGAGAAAACACACACAGAGACACAGAGAGAGAGGGAGAGAGAAAGAAAGAGAGACAGACGGGGGAGGGGGAGAGGCAGAGAGACAGACAGAAGGTAATGAGCTAAAATAACACTTTCCAATGTAACAACTCCTCAGAAGTCATGTTTTAAAGGTAATATATGTCTAGCAATGCTATCTGTTAGTATGCAAAGCTACAAAAAAACACAAAACTGATGGGGAAGCCATGCTCAGCTATTTTAATCAATAGTTAAAATTAGACGAATAAATTTGTAAAACACATTATTCATAAATCCATGTTTTCCTTGGAGGGACACTACCTTTAATCATAAATCAAAAAAAAATATCTATTTTTAAGAAAAAAAATGAACTCTTATTTGGGACAAATACAAAACAGATTACTCGCAAAACAAAAGCACTTTTAATAACTTTGATTAATATTATTCATTTTAAAATTAAGAATCAAAAGGTACAACAAAAAGTATCTTCACAGTGTCTTAAGTTTGAGATTCAAAGAAATCTCATTGCATGACATTATGACATTTCTGCAATTCTGAAATTGCAGAAACTCAGACAAATGTCAGAAAATTTGATTTTACTTGAAATTAGCTCATTTAGCTCAAATTTATATAAATTATACATTGTCAAACAGAAAAAATATTGAAAAGCTATTTTAGTTTTATAAATCAAACATCATCACAAAAATTAATTGTAATGATATTTGATTTACAAAACTATACTCTGTATAAAGTTAAAAATGATTGAAGATTTGCAGAAACATTTTCATATTTGTAAACCCAACCCTTGAAAGAAAACATTTAACATGAATTTACCACAGGTACATGTTACATGTAAAATAAAGGCTTAAAACCTACCTAATATGCAGAATACATCAGCAAGAATAGAAGGCATATCCTCACGAAATTCCTAAATTAAAAAATAAATTTACAATAAATTTCAGAATATCACATGGAAAGTATTATTACTTCAGAATAATGGTTATCAACCTAGAAGTCAACTAAACACCACCATTCTGTGATCTCATGGTCAGCATGGTCTACATGTCACAGGCTAAAAAGAGCTACATACTGAAACACAGTCTCAAAAACCACACACAGAAAAGAGCTGCCTATTTAAATTTCAAATACAGGATAGTTAATAAAATGGCAGTAACTTCAAAAAGCACCTCAGAAAAACACTAAAATGTAGAATACTTCACATGCACCTAATAATTGGTACATTTTCATCAAAAACTTTAATATTATATCCACATCTGATCCACGCAAAAATTATAGGACCAGAAGATCAAAAATCCAAAAATTACATCAATTAAAAGCAATTATTCCACAATTTGAGATTCTCTGAAGATAAAATAACTATCAATTTTTGTTTTCTTTATTCACTCTTATTTATAGCTTTTGAGGAAAAAAAAAACCTACCCCCAAATCCTGTTTCAGGACAAAAGCACCAGCATTCCACATTTGCTTCTTGAGTTGCTACTCCCATGATCAATTTTAGAGCTATTTCCCATTAGTAAGAATCACAGTTCACTTACTGTAATCAGTAGTTTTCTAGCACTATAGCAACCCTAAAATTCATATATTTTCAGAGACTGTAAGAAAGGAAATTCTAAAGAAAAAAGCCGGCAGCTGCCAGTCACATAAATTCATTTCTGTGGCTAAGATAGCAGACAAATGTACATTACTATGGAAAAGCCATGACAAAGGCAATGCAGTGAGGTAGCATATGGATACAATGAAGCAGTCAAAGTAAAGGAGACAGTAACTACTAAGGACCAAGTATACAAAAAGGTTTATTTACATTATGCTTGTAAATGGAAAAAATTACTATGACAGACAGACTAAAACTGTATCAACTCCTAATTTAAAATGAAATTATCTTAGTTATTAGCTTTTCAAGGGCTATGAACGCAAATAGTCAGGTTAATTGAAGACCAAATATAGAAAGGCATAAGAGTTTTTCCAACACAGAGTATTAATTGTCAAAGAAATATACTACTTCAATATGAACTAAAGTTACTCTAACTAGAGACAGTTTTTGGATAAAAGAGAAAAACATACTAAAATTCCTACTTCGCAAATGTACATGGGTGGGGAGTGTCAGAAGAGCTAACCTTAAAACTTCCATTAAAACCACTCAAGAAAAGCACAAGAATCATATGAAGCACCAATGACATGACTCATTAGCAAACTCCTCTGAATCTAGCCTAAATTCTCCAATAAATGTAAATGAAAATAAAATTAGCCACTTAAAGGTTTAAAACACATCTATCTGTTATTTTCTAAAAATAAGTAGGAAGCAGATACAAATGAATGTCAGAACTATGAAACCACAATTTAAAATAATTTAATCCTTAATTTTAAGAAATTTTTAATTATAATTGCAAAAAAATAACATTATTTGAAGAAAATACATAAACTATTTTTAGAGTTAAAACATTATTTAAGAACACTGACTTCATTACAGTTTTGTCATTTTGCTTACCCAGTTTGTATAACCTTATCTTCCTTACAACCAGACAAAAAGACTAAAATACCAACTGCTGTCTGGCAAAAATTGCTTATCAATATTACCTTAAAACAACCATTATTTTGGAAAATGTATGTTCTACACTGCAAAAATCTTTGTATCAAAAGTGAAGAGATATGCAACAATTACTGTTGTACATATATATACTTACACTAATGTCATTAAGAATGCTAGATGCCTGTTCATGCTTTAAATTTCCTTTAATGACGTGATATGACAACTCATAGAGAGCTTGTTGAAAATCTGTTGAACATAAAAGACATAAGTGTAAAGGCAGTCTCTTTAACAAGAAAGGCAAACTCTCCTGGAAAGTCTATTTATTTCTCACAATTATTATAAACATCAAAAATAAAACATATTTATAATAGTTCTCTCTAGCAACTTATTTTTCTAGTTCTACAAACACTAGCAAGTTTAGGAAAAAGTTAATCATTCCTTCTCTACTCTAATATGACTAGTAGTTAAGCATAGATTCTTTCCATGACTGCAAATTTCACATATTCACACATCTACTATATATATCATTTAGTATTTAGATTCTTCTTCAATACTTCGTTTTCTTTTCTGATCGTCCTGGCAGACGTAATGTGCCCTAAGCAAGTGTTATACCAATAATCTACATCGCTAGCCATTTTTAATTTTAGACAAGGTCTCAATAAGTTCTGAAGGGTAATCCTGCCTCAACCCTATTTACAGACATGTACAAGCATTCCTGACCCACTAACCCATTTTAAAACGTTTCCACCATATTCCTGAAGTCTTCAGAAATATTTTATATGAATACACCGTGCCGTAACAAGACAAACAAAATTAACCATTTCCCCACCAGCTACCTTCACAGATTGGTCTAAATATATTCAGAATATACTCAATTCAATCTCAGGGCTACAATGAAACCTAAGGAGTAAACATGATAGAGCATTCCTTCCAAAAATCTAAATTCTTTCTCGTCAATTTCTATCAGAATTCAAACAAAAAAATACATGTGTATACATACAAAAATGGCAATTTTATGAGAATTGTCAACTATAAAAAAAAACGTGCCCCCCCCCCAAAAGAAAGAAATCCACGCTATTATCACGAACCCATTTCCTCAAACAAAAAGTCTTTTAGGGAGTGGGGACTTAGAAGTTGACTGAACACCTTTGAGTCAATTTTTTTATTTCCACATACTAAATTTTTTTCTCCTTCAAATCATTAAATGTTGAAAAACAAGTATCTCTAAAAAATACTAATAGAGAATTACTGACATAATTTAGTTGGTAAAGTGCCCATCATACAAGAAGCCCTGTGTTGCAAGACATAAAACTGGGTATATAATGGCAGGTGCTTGTAGCCCATAATTCAAGCACTGGGGAGATAGAGACAGAAAGATCTACAGTTCAAGGTCATCCTCAGCACACTTATCAAGTTCCAAGCCAACATAGGCTAGCTACATGATACTCCTTTTCAAAAAAATAAAAACACAAATGTAAAAGAAAGCCTAGGAACTGGCTATCTAGCTGAAGTGGTAGAGGGATTCCCTACCATTTCTGAGAGACCGAGTTCAATCCGTGGGATGACAAAGTAGAAAAGTCCTCAAAGGAAACGTCCTCCAAACACACACAAACACCAAGCATGGTAGAGTACAACCAGCCCATAGTCCCAGCATTCATTCACGAAGCTGAGGCAGGAGGATCAGGCATTTAAAGCCATACTAAGCTACACAGCAAGTTGCAGGCCAACCTGGCTACATGAGATCCTGTCCCAGCGCATTTCACCCTCAAAGAAACTAAAAGAAAGTCTAGTTATAATCCCCTTCTAGGGAAAAAAATTAAAATCTTTTCAGGGCAAAAAAAAGTGAAAAAAGAAATGCTTTTAAAAAAACTCCCCTGGCCGGGCAGTGGTGGCTCACATATTTATTAATCCCAGCACTCGGGAGGCAGAGGCAGGTGGATCTTTGTGAGTTTGAGGCCAGCCTGGTCCACAAGAGCTAATTCCAGGACAGGTTCCAAAGCCACAGAGAAACCCTGTCTCAAAAAGCAAAACAAAACAAAAAAGAGTATTAGTTACAAAAACATTCATTTTATACTGAAAAAAAAAACCTTATGGGATTATCTGCAATAAAAGCTACAAATGAAAACACTATAAATCAGACACAATTGTTTTTATTTTGGCTTGTCTTCTGCCAAATCCATGTGCCTAATTTTAAATTAATGAATGTTAAAGACCAAAATCCCATAAAAGTAAAACCTACATCCTGCTTAATTATGTAACATTTTACTTAATAAATCCTATTTGTGACATGCAGCAAACAACTCCTTTGCTGATATTTTCCATGACAACTGCCTTTAACAAGCTCCCCAGACACCACCTGAACACAACCAGCTTTAGTAAAAGCACTGAAATGGGTGTGTGGAAATTTTTTAGAGCAAATATGATCAAACCCGTTTTTCTTCCCAGGATAGCTTTTTCTCACATTTATTACTGAACAGCTAACTACAGAAATCTAAATAAATGTACAAAATCTCAATTATAAAAGGCAGATGAAATAATGCATGTATTCAAGATGTATAATCTTATTGCAACTACAGTTATATTAATAACTATAAGGTCTTCTATGCATGCACTCTTAGAACTTTAGTTTTCACACACAACATCAAATAATTTATGTTAAGCAAACAAAAATGATAGCTAAAATAGTTTTGAAAAATCATACCTCTATAGGTCGAACTGTCGTGGCTTTTGTTTTCACTGAGGATCCGGCATAAATGTAAACTATAATAAAAAAAAATCTGTCAGTTTCCAATCCTAAAAACATCTGATTCCTAAGGAGTGAGTTTTATCTCCGAAAAAGTATATAAAAATTTCCCAGATACATTTAAATACCTATGACCATGACAAAACAAACTGCCAACTCCAATCTTCCAACCCATCAGAACTAGAAGAGAACAATCAGCCATTATTCCAAAAATTGGCAAATAATTTTTTATGTAAATTTTTTTTCTGCTGCTACATGTAAACATGGGGTAACCCAATACTAGATAAGGACTGTCTCTACTGGGCAAAGTGGTACATGGTCATAATCCTAGGAGTCAGGAAGTGAAGAGAGAATCAGCCTCTGCTAACAGCAAATTTGAGACTATCTCAAAATGTCTCCAGTTTGAACTATTTCAACCAATAAGAGGGCAAGGTAGATAAGGAATATCTCTCTCTCTCTCTCTCTCTCTCTCTCTCTTTCCTCTCTCTCTCTCTCTCTCTCTCTCTCTCTCTCTCTCTCTCCTCCACAAGGCCATAACATAAAAGGGTCACTTAGGGGAGGGCAGCAGGAAGATAGAAGGGAGAGTGATTGGAGCTGAATAAGATCACAGTAAACTGTATACATAAATAAAAATATCATAAGCAAGTCCATTATTTTGTACAATTAATATATGCCAATCAAACGATAGAATTAGAACATCTTCATTTCAAGATGCGTAATAAAAAAATTCACCATCTGTCAATGGCTGTTCACATCATAAAAACAGACTACAAGCATTATGTCCTAGCTACTGATGAAAAAATATACCACCCCAGAGGAAATAGAATGTCAAAAAATAATACTGCATTCTCCTCTTCAATGTTAACACTACAGATAACAAGCTATCTGCTACAAAACAATAAAAAAATTAAGGGGAATTATAGATGAAACAAGATTGGCAAAGAGTTGGTGACTACTGAACTAGACCAAACTAGAAAACATGCAAACCACAATAGAAACAAAACAATCAAAACAGCAAAAGGGGCAACCCACACGACAAGAATTAATATATTGTGGGGAGGAGTATCCCTTATCTACAATGCTTAGAACCAAAACGATTCCAGAACTTAGTTTTTTTGTTTTTTGTTTTCTGTTTTTCTCAGTTCAGAATATTTTCTCACCTGAGGACAGATTGAAGTATAACACAAAATTCATTGTTTCATATACATCTTATACGTACATCCTGGCAGTAATTTTTTAATAATTTATTTGTATTTTATGGACATTGGTGTTTTGCCTGCATGTATATCTGTGTGAGGGTATCAGATCCCCTGGAACAGGAGTTAGAGGCAGTTGTGAGCTGCCATGTGGGGGCTGGAAATTGAACCCAGATCCTCTGGTGAGATCTCTCCAGCCTCCCTGACAGTAATTTTTTAAAAATTCATTTTTATTTGTATGTGTATGTTTGTGTTAGTGTATGCCATGTTCATGTGCCTGTGGAGGACAGAAGATGTCAGATCCCTTGGAGCTGCAGTTATAGGCAGTTATGATCTGTCCAACATAGGTGGCAGGACCTGAACTCAGATCCTCTCCAACAGCAGTTAAGTGCTATTAACTGCTAAGTCATTTTTACAAACAAACCCGTAAAAATAATCTTATATAATATTTTTAAAATTTTGTACATTCAACAAAGTTTACTGTACAGTGGACCAGACATGCCATTTTATTATTCTATAGGCAGACTTGCATAGGAGAACCTGGACATACACAGAAAAGGGGTTACTGTAGCTGAAAGGGAGTAACAGGGTCTTCTTCTTCTTGGGATACAGTTAAATAAACAGTGTTCTTAAGCTGTGTTCTTTCAACATGTCAGTTATGGAAGTTTCTACTTGTAGTATCTCAGGGCTCGAGAAGTTCTGACTTTGGAGCATTTCCAACCTCAGCTTAGGGGTGTCTAACTCCTCTCCCCTCCCTTCCTTTCCTTCTCAGAGGAATCATCACTCTTTCACTTGCAAGCACATTTGTCCTTGTATTTGATTGCTTTTGCTCTTACCAGCATCACTTTCTCCCCGATACACACACCCTGGGTGATCTCATCCACTTCTAAGGCAGTAATTCTTAAGTGTATCTATCTCCAATTTTATCTCCACACTTCTGACTGAGAGCTTGGTAGACATGCTAGACAAAAAAAGCACTCAACCCTAAAATCTCAAAAATCTTTTAGCATAGCTGCAACCCAGAGACTATCTAAATAAATATTATTTAAGAATAAAATCCTTATTCCATTCATTATTATTTTATGCAACTCCAGAACATGGGGCTGGAATACAGACCAGTGGAAAGCCAATTCTTAGCCATGCATTAGGTCCTGGGTTCAATCTCCAGCACCTACAAAAAAATATTCCTGAGTTCTGAACTATTTGGTTTTTTTGAGATATGCATTTCATTGGCTCTGCCTCTGGAGTGCTGGCCTGGCTTTTTGTTGTGGGGAAAGAGGATCTTATCATTAAGTTCAGGCTGGCCTGGCACACTAGATACTCCTGCCTCAGTGTCACAAGCACTGAGATTCCAAGTGTGCAATACCACATCCCATGCTGCCATTTTTTAATGTCTTTCAGATACTCTGATAAAATGAGTTTGCATAACAAATTCCTACTCAGCATTAAATTAACAGCTCCTTGCATAGAAACTACTTATACATCTATCTTTTTTTTTCTTAGACGGGGTCTTTTTATTTAGGGTTGGAATAGTACTCACTGTGTAGCTTAGAATAACCTCTAATTCAATGTAATTCTCTCACCTCAGACCCCCAAAGTGCTGGGATTATAACAGTCCCCAACATGTCACACACAGTCATTTTAACTGTAAGCTTACATATCTTGTTTTTACAGAACACCATTTTTTCCCTCTTGAGAAACAACTAACAAGTTATGATGACTCAAAGATATCTGGCAGGCCATTTTCTCAAAAATGAACTGAGTTCGTCCCTTCAAGGAAAACAACAGAGTATTTATTGTCAATGATAAAAACCTAAGCTTTCAAACTTAAAGAATTTTGAAAAACTCATTTCTGCCACTATAGTGATGACTACTTTCATAAAGGTTTCCCTGATCAGCTTTGCTGGCGAAAATAAAGAATGCACTTTCGATATTCTACAATGAAATTTGCCAATATCTGGAAGAGCTACATAATACAGTGAAAAAATTTTTCAAGTGGCCAATGCATGTTATGGAACTTACAATAGTCCTCCTGTCTCTGCTTTCTAAGCACTGCCGTTTTACAGGTATGCACCATCATACCTGGCACTAAAGCAGTTTCAACTACCACTCGGGGTACAGGGAGAAAGGATCGCCTGAACCCTTGAATTCTAACCAGCCAGGACAACACAGAATCTGTCTTTAAAAATAACAATAAAAAATGAAAAGCAGGGCCAGTGAGATGATGACTAAGCACAGGGGCTAAGTACAATCCCTGGGAACCACATGCAGATGAAGGGAGAAAACACACGAGCACAGACACGCACATTCACACACAGAGAGAAAGAAAATTTTGATGTTATCAAACAATAATATGCATAATTACCAAAAAAAAGTCCAATACAATTGTATTGCCCTTGCCAACTATTTAGCTGGGTGAGGCTACATTTTCTTCATAACTTCAATCACAACAATCTATAATCCCTAACTCACAATATAAATCAATGCCATGAACAAAAACTGAAAAATGAAGGGCTGGCAAGATGGCTTACCAGAAAAAAGGCTCTTGCCACCAAGCCTGAGAGTTTGAATTTAATCCAAGGAACCTATACAAAGGTGGAAGGAGAGAAGTGACTCCACAAGGCTGTTCTCTGACCACCACATGCATGTGTGTACACATGTGCGCACAAATGTATATGCCACACATTCACATACACAAAATAGTTTCTTTTCTATGATAATCAACCAATATCATTAATATTTAAAAAGCAAAATTAAATTCCTAAAGTAATATAGGACAACTTCATTAACCTCAGAGTCAAGAAGGAACATTCCAACACTCAGAGGACTGAGGCAGGAAGATTTTCTTGAGTTCAGAAAAGCCTGGACTAGCATAAAACCCTATCTCAGAAAAAAAAAAGAACAAGAAAGGGGGAAAAAATACATTAAGAAGCATTAAGTAAGCATAAAGGGTACTAATATAGCAAGTAATGGATATATTTGACGATACTAAAATGAATTATTTTTTTTGTTCACAAGTCACCATTAATCTCAAATGTAGTGGCAGATGTTAATCATTAATTTCAGACCATCATGGGTTACATAGCCAGACCTTATCTCAAAAACAACAACAAAAAGATCACTATTAGCCAAACATGATGGCATATTCCTAGCACATACTAGCACATGAGGCGGAGGAAGGAAAAATTGTCATGAGTTAGAAGCCAGCCTAGGCTACACAGAGTTCCAGGACACCAAAAGCTACACAACCAAGACGGAACCTCAAAAAATGTTTAAGGACACTGTTTTAAGACTGAATATGTACTAAGAACATGCATAACCCACAAACAACATGAAGCACCTCAAGAGAGCAAAGATAAATAAATGGAAACACAGACAAAAGACAGAAGACAGAAGGGCTGGAGAGATGGCTCAGTGGTTAAGTCCACTGGCTGCTCTTCCAGAGGTCCTGAGTTCAATTCCCAGCACCCACACGGTGGCTCACAACCATCTATAATGAGATCTGGTGCCATTTTCTGTCATGCAGGTAGAATACTGTATACATAATAATAAATAAAATAATAATAAAATCTTAAAAAAATAAGCCACAATGAAGTATTCTACTGCATACAAATAACACTGACCTTTTTTTCTAAGTTTTTTTTTTTTGATGCTCCTGTTTTTGAAACAAGGTCCCATGTTGTCTAGGCTAACACCTTGAATTCCTGATCCCCCTGTCTCAGACTGGCCAATCTTCAAATCCTCACTACTATGTGACACTAACTTTAAAAGTCAGGTATGGTGACACGTGCCCATAATTCCAGAGTTTATGAGGTGAAATA